TTTTCACACGGCTCAACGAACACGGATTAATCATCAATCCTGCAAAGTGCCAGTTCGGGGTGTCGGACATCGATTTCCTGGGGCACCGCGTCACCAAGGGCGGTGCGACACCTCTGCCAGCGAAGGTGGAGGCTGTTGCGGCGTTTCCTCGCCCGCTCACAGCCCGGTCGCTCCGTGAGTTTCTGGGGATGGTGACTTTCTACCACCGTTTCATCGCCCGGGCCGCACACATCATGCGGCCGCTGTATGAAGCGTTGAAAGGCAAGACCCCCGTCCAGGAGATCGACTGGACAGCAGAGGCGGACGGCGCTTTTGCTGAGGTCAAGACCGCGTTGGCTCAGGCGGCTTTGCTGGCACACCCATCATCTACGGCTCCCATCTCCATCACCACGGACGCGTCAGACTACGCGGTCGGCGCAGTGCACGAGCAGTGGGTGGAGGGCGCTTGGCAGCCGCTCGCCTTTTTCAGCCGCCAGCTGACGCCTAGAGAACGCAAATACAGCGCCTTTGACCGGGAGCTCCTCGGACTTTATTTGGCCGTGCGGCACTTCCGTTTCATGCTGGAAGGCCGTGAATTTACGGCGTTTGTCGACCACAAGCCGCTCACCTTTGCCATGTCAAAAGTGGCGGAGCCTTGGTCGGCACGTCAGCAGCGGCAGCTGTCCTACATATCGGAGTTCACTACGGACATTAAGCACGTGGCTGGCAAGTCGAACCTGGTTGCTGATTGCCTCTCCAGGGTCGTCATCGGTGCCGTCCAGTTGGGCCTGGACTATACTCGCATGGCGGCAGACCAGGTCACAGATCCCGGCGTCCAGGCCCTGAAGGTGGAGAGCGCGGGGCTGCGCTTGGAGGACGTGGTGTTCGGCGACGCGGGCATTACTCTCCTGTGTGACGTCTCTACGGGCCTGGCGCGGCCTGTCGTCCCTGCCAGCTGGAGGCGTCCTGTGTTCGAGGCTGTGCACGGCCTGTCACACCCCGGCGTTAAACCTTCGGTCCGTTTGGTAGCGGCGAAGTTCGTTTGGCAAGGACTGAAAAGGGACGTGAGGACTTGGGCCAGGGAGTGCGTGGCTTGTCAACGCGCTAAGGTGCACCGCCACACGAAGGCCCCGTTGGAGCGTTTCCTGGTGCCTGAGAGGAGGTTTGATCACGTCAACATTGACCTGGTTGGTCCGTTGCCTTCCTCTCAGGGGTTTTCCTACCTCCTCACCATGGTGGACAGGACGACCCGTTGGCCGGAGGCGGTTCCGCTCGTTTCGACATCAGCCGCAGACGTTGCCCGGGCCTTCATTGCAACGTGGGTGTGTCGTTTTGGCACCCCGTCAGACATTTCCTCAGACAGGGGCTCTCAGTTCACGTCCGAGCTCTGGAACGCTGTGGCAGGCGGTTTGGGGGTTAAGCTGCACAGGACTACCGCTTACCACCCTCAGGCTAACGGTCTCTGCGAGGGCTTTCATCGCTCCATGAAGGCGGCCCTCAAGGCCGGCTTTACGGACGGTAACTGGGTCGACAAGCTGCCCTGGGTGATGCTGGGCCTGAGGACCGCACCTAAGGAAGATCTGCAGTGTTCTACAGCGGAGATGGTCTACGGTCAGCCGCTGAGAGTTCCGGGGGATTTCCTCCCAAATGCATCGGCTCCCTGGTCGGCGTCGGCCCAGCGGGCTTTCCTGCGTGACGCCGCTGAGGCCTTTGTTCCGATCCCTACTACTCAGCACGGTACTCAGGTGTCCCAGGTTCCCGCAGAGCTCCGCTCGGCGGAGCACGTGTTCATCCGGCACGATGCGCACAGAGGCCCCCTGCAGCCCCCTTATGATGGGCCTTTCCGGGTCTTGGAGCACGGGGACAAGCACCTGGTGGTCGACCTGGGTGGCAAGGCCGAGCACGTCTCGGTTGACCGGGTGAAGGCTGCTCACCTGGACTTGGACCAGCCTGTGGTGCTGGCTCGACCTCCGCGACGGGGCCGCCCCCCGGCCTCGTCCCCTGTCACGGATTTAAGACCTGTTGTCCCGGTCCCTCCCCTTCCGGGGGCCGCACAGGCGGGAGTCACTTTTCCGACTCCCGTGCTCAGGAGTCGTGGGGGTCGGCGTGTCGTTCCTCCCCGCCATGCTGATTTTGTTTATGTGTGAATTCTGGGGGGGCTTGTGTGGTGACACGTTATTGGACATAATTCACCTTGCTTATTGTGTTGCCACACGGACCCTTTAGTGGGGAACACCTGTAGCTTTAGCTGCCATTCCTGCTAGCTCATCATGGCAGAGCAGTGCATGTGTTAACCTCTCTGAAGTAATGGATAATAAAGATTGGAACTCCATTCTTAATACACCGCCTCCGACTCTCTTTTCACGGCACTACAATACAGTATATGTGTAATCTTGACAAAAACATTACAATTCCTTGCAAAGAAACGCCCATGGACACTGCCCAAAGATAATGGGCATAACTAATGAACAGAAGAAGTTAGAATCTTCTAATCAGTTCTGATACAATGATAATACATGTGTGCAATTGTCTGTGTTGAATGTAATTTATGACAGGGTAGGAGTGCTGTTTTATCTGCATATGAGTCCAGGTGGCCACCCTGGAGGTTGAAGTCTGATCGAAACACCCACATCATTGTGTCGTAAATAGCGGAATACGACCTGCATATGGGAGAGTCTTGAGCCCATTCAGCCGTGGCCCACCTCTGCCGGTGAGGTGGGAGACCAAGAAGGCGATCTTGGCTTCCTCGGAAACAAACGCCGCTGGGTTGTGTTTATAGTGTAGATCACACTGGACCAGGAACATTCTGCAGTTTCCAGACTCCCCGGAAAACCTCTCTGGTGATGCCAACCGAAGTGGAACAAATGCTGAGCGAACCTCGGCCTGGCCAGCTGCAGGATCGACGGGACGTGGCGCCGTCGGCACATCTGGAGTCTCTAGACGTGTGAGGATCTGTTGAAGCTGTGTCGCCAGCTGATTGCCGCGGTTACGGCGGTCTGCAAACCTTCCTGGCGTTCCGACAAACCTCTTACTCCGTGCCCAATAGCTGTTAGCTGCTCTTGATGTTGGTGAATTAAACTGCCTTGGGCAAACAAAGCAGTCTGGAGCGCTTTTGGGTCGGCTCGGTCAATTTTTGGTCAGTTCGTTATGTCAGGACCTCGACACAAACTGATGAACCCAAATGCACGACCCAGAAACAAAGTCTTGAATATAAAATAAGTATATTTATTTTTCACAGTGTAGGTAATCCATCTTGAAGGTGGGGTAGGTTTGAGAAACCGGCTCGAGATACACTTTTTGTTATATTCCATGGAATGCTCTTAACATCCCGATAGCAATGAATATCTTAAGTGCTTCGACAAAAAATCCATACAAAATTTCCTCTGTGGAAGCCGTATACTGTAAAAAGCATGACCAATCATTTTAGCCGGCCCGGCTAAAATAACTGGATGGCCTACCTGCCTGTCAGCCTTCCATCTGTGCACAACCTTATCTCGTGCCCTCATTGGTCATGTGCGCGTTCGTGTTTGTTGGAGGAGGGGCTCTGTAAGGAAGTAGCAGATTTGTTCCGGCTGTGTATTTTCAAATTCTAGCGCGAGCTGGTTTCCCCAAAATGACCTACCCCACCTTTTACCAGACAGGAGTATTTAAACATGAGGTGAGTGGGAACAGGTTTGAAAACAACATCATGACCTGTTCACTGGGATGGTCTCATTAAAGGTCCCCTATTATACTGTTTTTCATCAATATATATAGGTCTCAGACAGGCGCGGACTGGGACTAAAAAATAGCCCGGGACTCTCGACCGGTACCGCCGGCCCACCTCGGTACCGCAAGTAAATACCGCCAAAAAATTGTTATGACATCATAAAGTGAGTGTTGGGGAAAAAGCCATATCATGCCCTCGACCTGGAACACACTTCAGCAGGAACTTAAGCTGACCAGTTTGATACCAATCACGGATTTTAAACAAATTTTAATTAATTAAAAGCTGGATAAATCAACTGTGGGTGTTTGCACCTGCTATATCTGACTACTGTATATGGATTTCAATGACTACTTTTTTACGATGTTGTATTTTACGACATAATTACACTAGCTATGTTAGTTTGACAATAAAGAACCTTGAACCTTGAACCTTTAGTGTTGCCTCTGTATTTAGGCAAGGCAAGTTTATTTATATAGCACCTTTCAACACAAGGCAATTCAAGGTGCTTTACAAAAATGAAAGACATTCAGACAAAGGCATTTAAAAACAGTGAAAGATAATAAAAGAAAAAGACATGAAAAAAAAGTACATGAATAAAAAAGTACATGAATAAAAAGTTACAGTGCAGTTTAAGATATGAATAGTTCACACAGAAGTTCCACTTTACTGATGAACACAACGGCTCAGTTTCAATTAAAAGCAGCGACAAAAAGACAAGTCTTCAGCCTGGATTTAAAAGTAGTAAGAGTTGCAGCGGACCTGCAGGTTGGGAGTTTGTTCCAGATATTTGGAGCATAATAACTGAACGCTGCTTTACCATGTTTAGTTCTGACTCTGGGGACAGAAAGCTGACGAGTCCCTGAAGACCTGAGAGATCTGGATGGTTCATAATTTAGCAGAAGATCAGAAATGTATTTTGGGCCTAAACCATTCAGTGCTTTATAAACCAGCAGCAGTATTTTGAAATCTATTCTTTGACACACAGGAGGTTTAGTGTCCAGTCTGTCTGTAACTTTGTGTGGTAGTGTTACCAGGTCTCTCTTGAAAATGAGACCTTGTGTCTCAATGAGATGTTATACCTGTATAAATAAATAAGGAAAAAAAAGCCAACATCTGATCAGCTCATTTTCAGACAGCTTTTTATATAAATGGATCAGGAAAGAAAGTGAGCAACATTTTTGTCCTGAAACTTTCAGAATCTCAGGGGACACATGTTCATGCATAAAAGACATGGAAAAGTGGATTTTGCATAATAGGTGACCTATACATCTGTTGTTAAGCTGTACAATACAACACATAATAATCAACCCACCCTCTCCTCCAAGGTTGGTGTTACCCCAGCCGGACACAGAGCAGGAAAGCCCCCGATAGGGACACCTTGTGGGCAACGGGATGGGGGCGACCGCCTCCGTCACCTCCACTGGGTGGTACAGCTTGATCAACATTATGTCGAAATCCAGAGTCTGGTAGTCATAGCTGCATACAGAAAATACAAAACACGCTTTAGACAGCAGCTGTTCCTCTCCAATTTTGGGTATTCAAAGAGAAGAAGAGGGGGATTTTTTAAATGTTTCCCTCACCTAGGATGCCGGATGATGGTGTTGGACTTCATGAGCTGCTCTGTTCCCTCAAACACTCGCAAGTTGTGATCGCCCAGAATGACCTGCATGGAATAGGGACTTATAGAGGAGGTACAACGTTATAGAAACATGTGGAAGCAGTGAAAGCTTTCACTATTATGTTCTCTAATATCTCTACAACACTCTTAATCTCTAAATGTTCTGCATTTTTCAAAGACCACACTCTTTTTTTTAAATATTTAAAGCCAAACACACATTTAACATGTCTGCGATCCATGCTCATTGATTGATATTTAGATTTTTTTTAAATGAAGACAAAAAAATGCATAAATGTCTAGCAAGATAATCTATAAAAAAACTAAAGACCTTTGGAACAAATTCCAAAACGCATATTTAATTTATTTATTTAAAACCCATCAATGTTTACTTACTTGTACCTACAGTGGGCAACAGAGAGCACCCACTGGTTGTTGATCAGCACCCCGCCACAGAAGTGGTACCCGTAGTTGAGGGAGGCCATGTATGGACGAGAGTGAGGCGAACACTCATAACCGCCAATGATCCTGCCATCTTCACGGGGAACTGCAGCTGTTGCCGCTGTTGCCGCTGTTGCCGCTGTGGCAGCTGTTGCCGCTGTGGCAGCTGTTGCCGCTGTGGCAGCTGTTGCCGCTGTTGCAGCTGTTGCCGCTGTTGCCGGTGTTGCAGGTGTTGCTGCTGTTGCAGGTGTTGCTGCTGTTGCCGGTGTTGCCGGTGTTGCAGGTGTTGCTGCTGTTGCAGGTGTTGCAGGTGTTGCCGGTGTTGCAGCTGTTGCAGGTGTTGCTGCTGTTGCAGGTGTTGCAGGTGTTGCTGCTGTTGCAGGTGTTGCAGGTGTTGCCGGTTGTTGCCGGTGTTGCAGGTGTTGCCGGTGTTGCAGGTGTTGCAGGTGTTGCAGCTGTTGCAGGTGTTGCAGGTGTTGCTGCTGTTGCAGGTGTTGCAGGTGTTGCCGGTGTTGCCGGTGTTGCAGGTGTTGCAGCTGTTGCAGGTGTTGCAGGTGTTGCAGGTGTTGCAGGTGTTGCCGGTGTTGCAGGTGTTGCTGCTGTTGCAGGTGTTGCTGCTGTTGCAGGTGTTGCCGGTGTTGCCGGTGTTGCAGCTGTTGCAGGTGTTGCTGCTGTTGCAGGTGTTGCAGGTGTTGCAGGTGTTGCTGCTGTTGCAGGTGTTGCAGCTGTTGCAGGTGTTGCTGCTGTTGCAGGTGTTGCAGGTGTTGCCGGTGTTGCCGGTGTTGCAGGTGTTGCTGCTGTTGCAGGTGTTGCCGGTGTTGCCGGTGTTGCCGGTGTTGCAGGTGTTGCTGCTGTTGCTGCTGTTGCAGGTGTTGCCGGTGTTGCCGGTGTTGCAGCTGTTGCAGGTGTTGCCGGTGTTGCAGGTGTTGCCGGTGTTGCCGGTGTTGCAGCTGTTGCAGGTGTTGCTGCTGTTGCAGGTGTTGCAGGTGTTGCAGGTGTTGCAGCTGTTGCAGGTGTTGCTGCTGTTGCAGGTGTTGCAGGTGTTGCCGGTGTTGCCGGTGTTGCAGGTGTTGCTGCTGTTGCAGGTGTTGCTGCTGTTGCAGGTGTTGCAGGTGTTGCCGGTGTTGCAGGTGTTGCTGCTGTTGCTGCTGTTGCAGGTGTTGCCGGTGTTGCAGGTGTTGCTGCTGTTGCAGGTGTTGCTGCTGTTGCAGGTGTTGCCGGTGTTGCCGGTGTTGCAGGTGTTGCAGGTGTTGCTGCTGTTGCAGGTGTTGCAGCTGTTGCAGGTGTTGCTGCTGTTGCAGGTGTTGCAGCTGTTGCAGGTGTTGCTGCTGTTGCAGGTGTTGCAGCTGTTGCAGGTGTTGCTGCTGTTGCAGGTGTTGCAGGTGTTGCCGGTGTTGCCGGTGTTGCAGCTGTTGCAGGTGTTGCTGCTGTTGCAGGTGTTGCCGGTGTTGCAGGTGTTGCTGCTGTTGCAGGTGTTGCAGCTGTTGCAGGTGTTGCTGCTGTTGCAGGTGTTGCAGGTGTTGCAGGTGTTGCAGGTGTTGCTGCTGTTGCTGCTGTTGCTGCTGTTGCAGGTGTTGCAGGTGTTGCAGGTGTTGCTGCTGTTGCAGGTGTTGCAGGTGTTGCTGCTGTTGCTGCTGTTGCTGCTGTTGCAGGTGTTGCAGGTGTTGCCGGTGTTGCTGCTGTTGCAGGTGTTGCAGGTGTTGCTGCTGTTGCAGGTGTTGCTGCTGTTGCCGGTGTTGCTGCTGTTGCTGCTGTTGCTGCTGTTGCTGCTGTTGCCGGTGTTGCAGGTGTTGCCGGTGTTGCAGGTGTTGCTGCTGTTGCAGGTGTTGCTGCTGTTGCTGCTGTTGCTGCTGTTGCTGCTGTTGCAGGTGTTGCAGGTGTTGCCGGTGTTGCTGCTGTTGCAGGTGTTGCTGCTGTTGCTGCTGTTGCTGCTGTTGCTGCTGTTGCAGGTGTTGCAGGTGTTGCCGGTGTTGCAGGTGTTGCCGGTGTTGCAGGTGTTGCTGCTGTTGCAGGTGTTGCTGCTGTTGCTGCTGTTGCTGCTGTTGCTGCTGTTGCAGGTGTTGCAGGTGTTGCCGGTGTTGCTGCTGTTGCAGGTGTTGCTGCTGTTGCAGGTGTTGCAGGTGTTGCAGGTGTTGCTGGTGTTGCAGCTGTTGCTGCTGTTGCAGGTGTTGCCGGTGTTGCAGGTGTTGCAGCTGTTGCTGCTGTTGCAGGTGTTGCCGGTGTTGCAGGTGTTGCAGGTGTTGCTGCTGTTGCAGGTGTTGCAGGTGTTGCAGGTGTTGCTGCTGTTGAAGGTGTTGCAGCTGTTGCTGCTGTTGCAGGTGTTGCAGGTGTTGCAGCTGTTGCAGGTGTTGCTGCTGTTGCAGGTGTTGCAGGTGTTGCTGCTGTTGCTGCTGTTGCTGCTGTTGCAGCTGTTGCAGCTGTTGCTGCTGTTGCTGCTGTTGCTGCTGTTGCAGGTGTTGCAGCTGTTGCAGGTGTTGCTGCTGTTGCAGGTGTTGCAGGTGTTGCAGGTGTTGCTGCTGTTGCAGGTGTTGCTGCTGTTGCAGGTGTTGCAGGTGTTGCAGGTGTTGCTGCTGTTGCTGCTGTTGCAGGTGTTGCAGGTGTTGCAGGTGTTGCTGCTGTTGCAGGTGTTGCCGGTGTTGCAGGTGTTGCTGCTGTTGCAGGTGTTGCAGGTGTTGCAGGTGTTGCTGCTGTTGCTGCTGTTGCAGGTGTTGCCGGTGTTGCAGGTGTTGCAGGTGTTGCTGCTGTTGCAGGTGTTGCAGCTGTTGCTGCTGTTGCAGGTGTTGCAGGTGTTGCAGGTGTTGCTGCTGTTGCTGCTGTTGCAGGTGTTGCTGCTGTTGCAGGTGTTGCAGGTGTTGCTGCTGTTGCTGCTGTTGCAGGTGTTGCTGCTGTTGCCGGTGTTGCAGCTGTTGCAGGTGTTGCTGCTGTTGCAGGTGTTGCAGGTGTTGCTGCTGTTGCTGCTGTTGCAGGTGTTGCTGCTGTTGCCGGTGTTGCAGGTGTTGCAGGTGTTGCAGGTGTTGCTGCTGTTGCCGGTGTTGCAGGTGTTGCAGCTGTTGCAGGTGTTGCTGCTGTTGCAGGTGTTGCTGCTGTTGCCGGTGTTGCAGCTGTTGCCGGTGTTGCTGCTGTTGCAGGTGTTGCTGCTGTTGCCGGTGTTGCAGCTGTTGCAGGGTGTTGCTGCTGTTGCAGGTGTTGCAGGTGTTGCAGGTGTTGCTGCTGTTGCAGGTGTTGCTGCTGTTGCCGGTGTTGCCGGTGTTGCTGCTGTTGCAGGTGTTGCTGCTGTTGCAGGTGTTGCTGCTGTTGCCGGTGTTGCTGCTGTTGCAGGTGTTGCAGGTGTTGCTGCTGTTGCAGGTGTTGCAGCTGTTGCAGGTGTTGCAGGTGTTGCTGCTGTTGCAGGTGTTGCCGGTGTTGCCGGTGTTTGCCGGTGTTGCAGGTGTTGCTGCTGTTGCCGGTGTTGCAGGTGTTGCTGCTGTTGCAGGTGTTGCCGGTGTTGCCGGTGTTGCAGGTGTTGCTGCTGTTGCTGCTGTTGCAGGTGTTGCCGGTGTTGCAGGTGTTGCTGCTGTTGCAGGTGTTGCCGGTGTTGCCGGTGTTGCAGCTGTTGCAGGTGTTGCTGCTGTTGCCGGTGTTGCAGGTGTTGCTGCTGTTGCTGCTGTTGCAGGTGTTGCCGGTGTTGCAGGTGTTGCTGCTGTTGCAGGTGTTGCAGCTGTTGCAGGTGTTGCTGCTGTTGCAGGTGTTGCAGGTGTTGCTGCTGTTGACGGTGTTGCCGGTGTTGCAGGTGTTGCTGCTGTTGCAGGTGTTGCAGGTGTTGCAGCTGTTGCAGGTGTTGCTGCTGTTGCAGGTGTTGCAGGTGTTGCTGCTGTTGCCGGTGTTGCTGCTGTTGCAGGTGTTGCAGGTGTTGCTGCTGTTGCCGGTGTTGCTGCTGTTGCAGGTGTTGCAGGTGTTGCTGCTGTTGACGGTGTTGCCGGTGTTGCAGGTGTTGCAGGTGTTGCAGGTGTTGCAGGTGTTGCTGCTGTTGCTGCTGTTGCTGCTGTTGCAGGTGTTGCCGGTGTTGCAGGTGTTGCTGCTGTTGCTGCTGTTGCTGCTGTTGCTGCTGTTGACGAAGGGAAACTAACTATTATCAAGATTAAAGTTACATCTGATAGTCAGTTTTTCTCCCAGCAGCTCCTTTTCCGGTGCTGCGGCTGGGCAGCAGTTGTGTGTCTGTGCTGCACGCGGCGGTACATTTGAATTACACCGGGCAGCGGCACAATATGAACCGTCAGGAAGACTCAGATCTAACGAACCTCATTTAACAGAAAGGAAAATGGCAACAACAGGGCTTGGGAGCAGTGGTCACGTTAACCGAATATTCGACCCCCCCCCCCCCAGTCAGCGCGAGTGAGTGACGAGTTGTGTACAGACCCGACGGGGTAATAATGGATTATGACGGAAATGTTATAAATAAATAAATAAACCAGTATGGTTTACGATATTTGGGCCAATTTTCGCTACAATGAGGCGGAGAAAAAAAGCGAATGCATTGTTTTATCAGAAGGGAAGCAATAGCCGCGTTCACACCGGAGTACTTTTCCCCATACTTTTCCCCTTTAGTTCCGTTAGTAGGCTACCCCTTATGTTGCGTTCACACCAAAAAGAGTAGCCTACTTAGTGCCGGGAACTTTTACCCCCATTTTTAGTGCCTGCTAGAGAGGAGGTATTATCCTGGGGGGAAAAAGTGCCCCAGTTCTGATTGGCTGGGCGAATTGCAAACCACGCCCCGTAAAACTCTGAAAGGTTTTGTGAAGCCGCCATTGTATTTGTGGCATTAGCATTATAAGCATTAGCCTCGCGCACCAACGGAGAGAGAATAACTTATGGCAAAACACAAAAAACATGGGAGCGGTGGAGTGATGAGGAGGTGTCGGCGTTCTATTGATTTACTCGGAAGGCCGGGGACTTTGGGGGACTTCGGGGGCGGCAGTATACGCCATGAAGTTGTTTGCAGCCTGCCAGTAAACCCAAAGCAGAAGAAGACGAAGTGACGTCAGTGGCTCATTTGCGTAATCTTCCCTCAGGGAAAAGTACTCCGGTGTCAGTGGTGTAGTGGGTGTTGGACGCGGGGGTACGCCGTACCCCCACTTATTTGGAGCATGATCTTTTTTTTAAGTCTAATAAATATAAAATCATTGCCAGTGTTATCAGTTGCAAGTGTGTATTTGTTGTAATAATGACGAAAACATAATACATTTCACAGTAATTATAATAAAAAATAAAAACGATTTCCTTAAAAAAGTATGATTCATCATCACGCTCGTGACCCCGTGGTCACTGACACACCCACGGCGAGCCAGCTCGCTGCGCCCGCCGATTTTGCGGCAGCTCTTTCCCTCAAGAACACTAACGAAAAAGCTCTATAATGGCAGGCTAACATGTTTTACTTGACTTATTTTCTAAAAAGAATATAATTCACAAGAAGAAAGAGGCTAGCAGCACCGAAGCTACAAGTGAAGCTGCTAGTAATATTACATTACATTGCATTTAGCTGACGCTTTTATCCAAAGCGACTTACAATAAGTACATTCGACCAGGAAGACACAACCTTGAAGAAAACAGAATCATATAAGTACATCAGGTTTCATAGAGCCAAACATTTCAAGTGCTACTCAACTTTAGATAAGCCAGTCCTTTACATCATCAGAAGAGCCGCCTAAAGACGTGGATAATGCTAGCTAACGTGCACGTTAGCTGCGCTAGCAACGTTCCCCTGGCTAGCTCAAGCTCACCTTTCCCAGAGGTATGGACGGAGGAGATGTGGCGGAGGAAACAAGAGGCATACCCGTGGATAGACTGCAAAGCTGGGAAACTGGGCTGCAAAGTTTGTTCATCCATTTCGGATTTATCAGTCTTCAAAACCCAAGGTGTGTGTGTGTGTGTGTGTGTGTGTGTGTGTGTGTGTGTGTGTGTGTGTGTGTGTGTGTGTGTGTGTGTGTGTGTGTGTGTGTGTGTGTGTGTGTGTGTGTGTGTGTGTGTGTGTGTGTGTGTGTGTGTGTGTGTGAAAAGCAGCGCTGTCTGCTTATTTGCAATGTAGGCTAGGCCTAATCAAAATAATGTCAAGTCCAGATTCAATGTTGTTTGCATAAGTATGGCTATATTTTTCGTTTTGTTTATTTAATAAGTTAATTTCAGGACAACTTTGGACATTTTGTTAGTTTGTTATGAGTTTTAAATAGATTTTGAAAGTGGAGAGAGAGAGAGAGAGAGAGAGAGAGAGAGAGAGAGAGAGAGAGAGAGAGAGAGAGAGAGAGAGAGAGAGAGAGAGAGAGAGAGAGAGAGAGAGAGAGAGAGAGAGAGAGAGAGAGAGAGAGAGAGAGAGAAGCAGCACTGTCTGCTTAGTTGCAATACTGTAGCTTATGCAATTTAGGCCTATAAATTGTTTATGTAACCTATGTGCCAGTGTGTCCATGGTTTTGAGTCTGTGTGTGTGTTGAGCGCAGCGCCGTCTGCTTTTTGCAGTACAGTAACTAAAGTAGGACTAAGCATACCGGTAGTTTCTGTGGACCTGTCTGCCCGTTTTGTGAGTGCACTGCGCGCATGCGCACTTGTGTGGCATTGTTTGGGACGACCTAATTAAAATAGCGTCCCCCCAGTAAAAAAATCCCCACTACACCACTGGGTGTCACGGTGAACGCGATTGGTACTTAGTGCCCTGGGGTAATAAGTGCCGGGGCACTAAGTACTGCAAAGTACACGGTGTGAACGCGGCTAATGTGGCCATAACACAGCTGGTAAAAACACCACAAACCTGACCAGATACTCTCTGCAAAGCTGCATTCTTAATCATTCAATCTGTGTTTTTCATCAAATAAGGATAAGATATAATTGTTCTGTTACAGCTAAGTTTACTCTTGTTTGCATTTTCTGGGCTATTCTTTGTGTGCCTATTGTGCCTAGTCGTGGTCCTTTTAAGAATCAGGATGACATCATCAGATGGGTGTGTCAGGTGATCATTAGAGAGGAATAGGCAAAGCATGGCTCTGTGAGCAATGTGTTATTGTTTGTTAGAAATCCAGCTACATCTGCATAGTCTTAATGCCTTTGATCGCATCGTATGTAAGTATTGTTTATGTTTGTGTTATTAACAATTACAGATGATTATTTTTAGGAAATATTGTATTCTGTGGTGTTTAATGCTGGAGATCTTCCGAGTTGTCTCAATATTGTACAAGGCTAATGCAAGGAGAGTTAAATGAATACATGTACAAATGGCTGATTATATGTTTAAAATATGATGCCATTTATAACTGTTTAAGTTCTAGAATTACAATAAATACATTAAAAAGCTTACAGTAAATATAACAAGGCAATTCAATTAATGTTAAAGCTGTGTTGATTTATATACATTGTGCATATTTGTGTATGTAGAAATGATCATAGAATTGATTATATTTTGTCTTGTTTATTTTTAGTTTCACACTTTCCTTATATCATTAAACCTGTGGGCAAAGGATTCACGTCTTCAGAGTCTTGGTGTACGGAGGGAGTTTATCTGGCTGTTGAGTTATATACACTACACATATACCGGGGACAGCACAATAATCTTATTGTGAAATACATTTGATCAAAATGACAAATTATTGGTTTTGGCTAGACTAGTTTGACTGAAATGTTCTATATAATCTCATGACTAAAAAAGACTCAAATGTCAACCGTTATCATTAACAAAAATAAATAGTTTTCTTTGGCTAAAATAAGACTAAAATGCTCAGACTTTTAGTCGACTAAATCTTGACTAAAATAGTTACTGTTTCCTTTGACTAAAATAAGATTAAAATGCTCTGACTTTTAGTCGACTAAAACTTGACTAAATAAAAACAGGATGAAGGTGAGGTGACTAAATATGACTAAAACTAACAAGGACATTTGATACTAAGACTACATAAAAAAATTGCTGACAAAATTAACACTATTGTATTACTGTGTATTTACCAGCAGCTCCGATCAACAGCAGCAGAGCCAGCAGTTTCATGGTGTCAGGTGAATGTTCAGAAGACTCCTGGACACACACCTCGGCTCAAATTTATATCCCAGCAGCCCCACAGTGCTTGTTCCCCTCACCTGACCGCCCCCCCCCCCCCCCCCCCCCCCCCCCCCCCCACTTAGTTTCAAACCAAATGTACTTTCTT